AAAGAGTATGAAAAAGAGTAGGGAAAAGAGTAAGTGTAGAGTTACTCTTTGGGTAAAAAATGAGTAGGTCGAGACATACTCAAAATCAAAGAGTATATACTCTGAGTATATACTCTCATACTCAAAGAGTATTTATGAGTATGAGAGTATGTCGAGACATACTCATTTTCCGTTTGTATGGGAGTAGGAGTAGGAGTATGAATTATACTCTCTTACTCCGCCCACCTGTAAAAAAAAAAGTTGCAAACGGGAAAAAATCGTTTGAATAGTATTTTTTCCCCGTTCGTTCGTGCGAGTGTGTATTGCTTCCCATAGTGCTGAGCAGCGGAACGTCGAATGCGTACTTATGCGAAATTGGCATAGGTCCAATAGCGGACCCGACTCACATTTATTTGATTAATATTGTAATTCATTTCGAGTATAGTGAAACAATGTGCGTTTGTATGTTAATGCCGAAAACATGCGTTTGCGTTTGCGTTTGCACTTAATGATTATGCTGCACAATTTTGGGCCTTCACATTTCCTTCACATTCGAATATTCTTCGAAACAATTTCTTTTTGAATTCACATCCGCTGTGCAAATGTAAGTTGATCAAAGCTTTGAATTCGCATGGAAATCATTAATCTGATTGGAATAAATGGGGAAAAATTGCCGACAAGCAATACCAAGAGTGTCTTTGAATGATGCGAAAAAGCCACATTGTTATTAGTTCACGTTCAAGTGGATTGTATTAGAACGACTTTATTCTATTGAATGGATAATGTTTATGATTAAGACAAAACTTTTGCGTCTCTGGTCTGTCGCTCTAATGTAATCAATATTTCTAACCCCCGCAAAACATCGAAACGGCGTGTTTTATCAGATGAATAAATTCGCTACTGGAGGCAAATGAATACATCTTTCATTTGGATTTCCTTATCATTTCTATAAATGAATACGATGAAACCGGATCGCTGGTTACATTATATCAGAAGTAGGAGATAAGACTTGATTAGAAAGTACAAGATATGGCTTGTACTGCGTAAAATTATATGTTTTTCATATCTTTTATTCCATCTACGCACGATATGCGATCTAAGTCCTAGAGTTCTAATGAAAACGTAATGAAGCTGTTCAATAACAAGTTGCTACTAGCAATTGACATTTGTATCCCAACCATTTTCTGTGCGGTCTTGTATTCAGGTTAAGGAACAAACATTGATGAAAGGAAAAAAAATCTCACGATGTCAATTGTAAATTGAAACAAAAATAACACTGTTTCCTTTCATTCGGTATTCAGACGGGAGACGGATGTTTGATGCATGACATTTGTTGCCAAAACAAATACGAATTTCATTTGTGTCGATTGAATGGCATCGACCTTTGTTTTCGATCGAGAAACACGCACACATCGTGTCGGCGTATTCAAATTTGGTACATCAAACGAAATGAGAACGAAAAGAATGCGTTTTGCATGTCAGATATCGGACGGCTATGCGTGGCTCGACATCGTGACACACAGACACACAAGAGAGACAGATCAGCAGCGCACAGAGACCCGGTGATTGATTTTCGGCATTAAATCTATTAAAAACCAATTTCATCGAATAAAAATCTCTCAAGCGAAAAGAAGTTAACTGCTTCACAACCGGCAATATTTTCATTAACCGCGTCGAGACTGTGGTAACTGTGTGCGAGTGGTTTATTTCTCTCTCTCTCTCTCTCTCTCTCTCTCTCTCTTCCTTTCGGGCCTGCTGTTGCTGCTGCTGAATGAACAACTAACTTTGAATTTCAAACGAATTTCTGACGTTTTAATTTTTATACTCGTCATTTATTCTTGCTTTAATGGCTGTGTGCACAGAATTGGACGTTGGGTTCGTAAATTTCGTTTTTTGGTGTGTGCCAAACCTCACCATTTATGAATATGAATTAATAGGGAAATTAATGTCGTTAAACTCCCATGTAATAAAATATGCAAACTGAAACAGAATGGCATCATCGAGAGTCATAAAATTCCGAATAAGAAACGGAATAAAAAAAAAGCAACAAAGCAACGATTTCAAAGCGATTGAAGTAGTTGGATGGTATGAATAGCTATTGAATAAAGATGATTCAACATGAGCGCGTGTTCAAGTGAATTTCGACATTGAATATGAAATCTAAACCGATTCAATTTCAATTCCAATTAAACCAAGTGTCGCTACTGTGTGTATCCATGTGCAGTGCATATGTGTGTGCAAATTCAATGCTTTTGTCGCTTCAAATTGAGTTCTAAGTTCTCTTGTTTTTGTGCTGATTGCTGTAGACAGTCGGGAATTTTCGAAGTGAGAATGACAAAAGGAAACGAAGGGGATGGATGGGCGGAAAAGAGTAACGAATGTGTCTGGCGACCTTACCATGTGATGTCGTTGACTCATTGTGTTGATGATGGTGATGATGATGTGGAGCGTGATGATGTCCGTGTGAATGATGATGCGTTGAATGTTCGTCCAATGGCAATAATGTTGACGAATCGCTCGTATCGATCGGTCTCCATCGGTATGAGCCATTTTCGTTGGCATTCGAAAATACTCCATTTCGTACGGCCGTCCACACAAATAATAATAATAATAGCAACGCAACTATGCTGAATACAGCCAATATTGACGATAATTTCTGTCTTGATCGCGTTGTCATTTTGTTTGATTTATTATTCTGTGTATTTTTGTTTGTATTTTCTAAGCAAAAAACAATCCACGAAAAAAGAACTTTTCGGGATTTCAAAATTTTTCTATTAAGATTGGCAGTGGAATTTCGTTTCTTCCTTTTGTGTGTGTGTTTGTCGCAAACACTTTTTTCTTCGTCGTATTCGTTCCTTCCTTAAAAGCTATGCACAAATTTATCGATGAAATGGCACATTGGCAGTTGTTCGTTCCGACGTTGATTAGTTGGTCCCGTTGCGATAAAAACGTTTGGCTTTAGTTCTTTTTCCTTCGGCTCTTTTACATCCAATCAAATTTCTTCGTTTCAATGGCAGCTCGTTTCGTTTCTGGTAATGTGTCCTATTCACTCTGGAGATTCGTTCCGCATTGACGAGAGTGGGCTATTCGAAAAGAAGCTGAAACAAACAAAATACTCAATGAAAATGTGATAAATCATTTTATGTGGATTGAAAAAATTAAGTAGAAGAAGACGGCACAGTGCAAACGCGCTGTTTAAGATGAGCTATTTTGAGAATGGCGAAAATAAAGGCGATAGGAGACGAGTGTGAGGTTTCGTGACTGGCAGCTCATACCAAACAGATATCAAGTTTCTCGCTCCGATTGAGCGTGCAATTTGTCATTTTGACAGAATTTGATATGTTAATCATCAATTGCATTCACGCGTCTCGCTCAACCAACAGCAAATCAATCATATTTCAACAAGTATCCAGATGCCGACGCAGTCTTCACGAGAAATGTGAAACGTTTTTTTTTCTTCTCGTTCAAGCGAATTTGGTGAGTTCGTTGGATTGATGAATTGCCCGTTCAGGCCGAGTTTGTGGAAAAATCAATGCATTCACACGTAATCCATAATTTGAAGCAAATAAATCAATGACCTCCATCGACTGTAGTCCCATTGAATGGCTTCTGTACAAAAAAAAACAAGTGAGAAGAGGACCACGACATGTAAACTGATAATTTGGACCGGAACAAATAATGGTTTATACAGCTTGCAGCAAATTGCGTTCATTCGTAATAAAAAAGCCTAAAATTGGCCAACTTTTTCGCACATTGTCTTTCGACAGTGGCAATTTTTTTTTGTTTCAATGGAAATGCGGTTCAGAATAACCATAACTTGGTTTTTTCTCCATTCTTCTTGTTATCCACTACAAACTGAGTAATTGATAGATTGAAGAGAACGACGCGTGCAGCAGCAACAACAGCGTTGGTTATTGCAACGACCATTTCAATAATCGTTACGCGAGAAACTCATACGTGCTGGGCCAAAGACGCAGCGCTTGGCGAGAAAGAAGATGAAAAAAACCGAAACATAAAAATTTAATTTATCTAATTGAGGGTTCCTTCGATATGATTAATTGAGTTTTATTTGTGGCCGAGAATTCATCGATTGAGCTAATTTTGGTTCTTCCCGCAGACATGGACAGTTTTGTGTTTTTTTCTTCATTGATTACCATCCCGCAACATCCATATGATTATCACATTTGCGAATTTATTGCAAGAGAAGGAAAAAAAATGGTCGTTGCGGTAAGCAATAAACGTTTAGCGAAGAAAAGGCCGAATTCATATTCTGTTTGAACTACTCTTTTGATCACTGGCTCTTAAAGAAAAGATTTATATCGATCGAGCGACATGTGAAAAACATTAAAATCAACACGACCATAAAATGTTTGGCATTCGCCATATCATTTACATAATTTGTCAATGTAAAAACTAAACATTAAAGATGAATTTGCTGAAATTTGCATTTTAAATGTACATAAGCTCATTGGTTGCTCTCTCTCTCTCTCTCTCTCTCGCCCGCTCTTTCTCTATATCGCAGTGCAAAAGTTCAAACGTTGAAAAAGATTACGCGGCCTGTTGATGATCTTTTTTGTTTTGTTCCGAGCTTGTCTCAGGATCATCGCTCTATGAAATGATTGCTAATTGCTGGTGCTGTTTGATGAAAGTGAATTCTGACTGCGTTTGATACGAAATAAATTCTTTCCGATTCGTCCATTGGGGAATCAAAACCATTTCGCTAAGCAACGAATGAGTTTGCCAGAGTAAGAGAGAGAAAAAGAGATCAGTGCACTTATTGAATGCGCTCAAGTCGATGCACAACCAAGGTTAATCGTCAATATTTGTTGTGCCATAAACTCAATGAGTTCATATGAATTGGTTGTTTTATTTTTAATCCCTCGAGAGCTAAAAAAGGAATCAAATCAATTTTCAATCTCAATGCGCGCAACAATCGTTTGCATATTTTTACGCATGTGGTTTCCTTTTGTGAGTGATTGTGTTTGTATTAGTGCACTTCATAGTTTTTGTTTATAGTTGCGTTTATTGGCATTTCATGCGATATCAGTTGTTGTTGTTGTGCACTAAACAGCCGCCTGTGTATGCACAACTTGTTCCACCATCTGAGATGTGTCAATGATAAAAGCATGAACAATAAAATAAAGAATATCACGCAAAATAAGATGAAAAATTAAATGGCGTTTCTGTGCGTTAAACTTGCGATTTTTAGTATCGACGCAGCGCATCAATAAACAGGTCTAAAAATAGGCGAAATTAAATTGCTTATTACTCGCCGGCAATCACACGCAACAACAACGGAAAAAAATATTGTTACTGATATTTTGTTTTGCCATTCACTCGTTCACCACACATTATCTGTCGTAGTTCAAAACGCACTGCGCGCTCAAAAGCACCCATTACGGCTTATTTGTATATTTGATAAAAATGCTCAATTCTTCATTCACTCATTCGCGCAACAGCCAAAGTAATCTGTTTGAGCAGCTTAAGTGATCACTATAGTCTGTGGCCTGACGCTTTGCCATCAAATATCAACAAATCATGAGCTCGCGAACCGAAGAAACACAAAACCATTTTAGAAATATCTTTCAACAACCAACGGCACACCGTGCACACATTCTTTTAATTCGTCTCGATTTGAGGAATAAATCATTCGTATATTTTCTTTCGATTTTTTTTTTTTGTTTTTGCTTCCATAAAAAGCATTTTCGTTATCACATTTCGATGCTGTGTCTGCATTGCCGTTTCGTTTGCCCATGCGGAATTTCACGATTTTGCTTAGCACACACAAGTGAAAAGAAGATTATTTTTGTTATTTTTTTTTCTGCTTCATTCACAGCATTTTTATTTCCTTCCACCAAAGAATCATAATGTTCACTATTCATTCCCCCCATTCGTTTTCTTTATCAAACCAAAAGCGTCAGAGAGAGAGAGAGAGAGAGAGAGAGAGAGAGAGCGAGAGAAAAAAAGCGGCCTCAAAAATGCGAAGAACGCAAAAGTGTTTCATAACAAAGATGTAAATTGTTAAGGTAAATTGAGTTTTGTGTACAAGATCCGATTCGAAATGTTTCGAACAACATTATCAATAGCGGAGAAAAAAGCATAAAACAATTTATGGATATCGACATCGGTGGAAAAATGGTTGTTGTCGTTTGTTGTATTTCCAATGAACGAAAAATAGCATGAGAACAACTTGCTATGGCTTGTCGCTGTTGTTGTTTTTTTCTTTCTCTAGTGGTAATAAAACTTAAATGCCCGTATTTGTCGATGAATAGTTGATAAAAATGTTAATTTTTGTTGTTGTTTCTCTTCTTAGTTTCAGATAGGGCTTTGTTTTCCGTTTCGCTAAACGAGAGCGAATTGAATGGCAAACATTGCTGTGGCTTACATTGTTTTTATTTTTCCTGTCATTCCAGAATATCGATGTGCTGAGCTATTGTTTTCACATCGTGCAATATAACAGCCAATATGTGGCAATTGACCACATGTACTACATCAGTGGCTTTTTTTCTCTTCTTTCGGACGGCTAGACGATGTTAGAGAGAAATAAACTAGAATCACATAGAGAGAGAAAAAATCGGGCACTCACAATGTGACACACCTTAATACAATACTGTGAGAGAATATGGACTAGAGAGATAAGAGCGAAATCCAATTCAATTTTCGCATCGATGCGTTTTTTTTTCAATTCGACACATTCGTAGCGAACCCATTTCGGCTGTGTCAAATTGTGCGCACGATAGAGAAAGAAAAGACACTATGAATGTCTTTGAAATGTTTTCAATCTGTTTGCGAATGGTATCGAACGAATGTGTGTGGTTCATTAGGAGAAAAAGGTCAATGGTTAAGGCTATGTTTACATGTTCTGCATCGAACGATCTCGCCCATGCTACGAACTTTTTTTCTGTTGTTATTCGCTCTCTGCCCATTCGCCTAATGACCATTCTAAACGCGCAGTTTTGTGGTGGTTTCGTTTTTATCAAACTTAAACGATCGACGTTGCTTTTTTCATTGGCATGAAAGAAACCCATTTTTAGCTAATCGCATGTCTTATGTAAGTGGTTTGCTTGTTCCCAAGTAATTGAACTTTTATTTTTAGCGTCTATTGCTCACGTTTGCTTGTAGCCGCCACAGCAGCAGCAGCAGCAGCATCATCACTACAATACGAAGAGAAAATACATTTCGTTTCGATTCATTACCACATGCAAGCATCCATTTCAATCATACAGACGGGCGCACATGACAGCTGCGATTATTTCGGTGAGTTCTTTTTCTTTCTCATTCATTGTGCGTTTGTTTTTGTTACTCTTTCTATCTCCATCTTCCTCTCAGTGTGTACATATATTCGTTTTCGCCTGATTTGCTGGTAAATGTTGCGTAAATTGCAGCATTTGCAATCGGAACAATGACACAGAAAACATTCATTGGATCGAGTACGACTTTTGATGCACTGTTAATACGACAAAGCGCGTTCAGCGGCCACAAACCACACAACCAATTTGTCTACACGCTGCCTGTCCGATTAAAATCGGTTAATTATTGACAATTGTAAACCGTTTGGTTTTTTCTCTCTCTCTCTTTCTACTTGAGAGAGCTTGTGAAGCAGTTAAACCTCAATTGCCATTGAATAATTTTTCTCACAGGGCGAAGTAACATCGATGTTTGTGCGGCAACATTTGCTCACAGAACAAAACGAAAACGAAAAAATTGAAATGAAAAATAGTCAACATTGCTAATTTAAATGTCTAGACCCACGAGCCACAAAGCCAATGAAGATTATGATCATGCTACAGCTTCATAAGCACTGCTTATGCGTAAATCAACTACTGAATTTAATATCGTCGCTGAAAAAAAAAATCCATAAAGTCTAGTCGAAATGAATGTACGCGCGAGTGCGCTTACACACAGCGAGAGAGAACCATTGCTGCATTTCAAGTTTATTTCAAATGCCGATGCATCGATTTGCATTCTCACAAACGACATCCATTGAGTTGCTTGTAAGCGCACAGCGCACCCAAAACATAATCTGTGAATGCATATATATTTTAACGATTCTGTACATTGTAAATTGTTTGTACACAAGAGTGCATTATGAGTCTCT